CAACCCGAATGCGCTGCAACATGTATTAGATGCACTTAAACAGGATGCCAGGTAATGATAATATAGTATCATTTGTTTATTTCAACTCTTACAGCTAACATTACAGGTCATTTATATAACCTAATGCGTTAGTGAGGCACTTTATAAGATTTCTACATTGACAATACTGTACAATACCTAGGCTAGTAACAACAACTTAACACTAAAACTATATCTACTACTCTATCCTATAACACATTAATATAAATTAATCTTTGCGAGTTCATTGAACTGACACGCAAATATATCTATTACAGTTTGGACTTGGTTAATCGTACGAATTGTTCGCTTATTTTTTATAGTAGACCCGCCCCGGCTCCGCACTGGTACAATATGCATGTATTATACATATAAACCTTCCTTAAGAATCACTCTATCTATTAAAAGAAACCGCATCAAAATCCGTTGCGTAGTTTTAAAGATCTAAACATATATAGGGACAGACAGACGGCGGATAGCGACTTTGTTTTATACTATGTAGTGATATATAGCTGTGCGCGCTACTTGGTCCACGTGGAGAAACAGCCTAAGATACTGTTTAATACATCAGCTACCTGCCAATAAAAGTCCTGTCAAAATCGGTCCAGCCGTTCCAGAGTATAGTCAGAACAAACAAACAGACAGACAGACAATAACCAGGCCATAACTGTGCGTTTCTCCCGACACTTCCTGCCTCGCACAGCAAAACTGTGGAATGATCTGTCGTCGGCGGTGTTTCCGCACCGATACGACCTTCAAACCTTCAAGAAAAGAGCGTACTCTTTTTTAAAAGGCCGGCAACGCACCTGTCACTCCTCTGGTGTTGCGGGTGTCCATGGACGGCGCTGATAGCTTACCATCAGGTTCTCCGTCTGCTCGTTTACCTCGTATTCCATAAACACCATTAGACGAATTCTGAGTAATGATGTAACTGTCTCCCTGCCAGGTACACAGCCCTGGACCACATCCCGGAGGAGAGGCAGGCGATCCTGACGAGCTACCTCGAGGAACTAGAGAAGAAAGGACCCCCACCGCCTCCCACCGCCACGGAACCCAGCCGGAGAGCGAAGCAATGATACAGGTTACTATTATATTGTAGAATAGTCCTTCTTTTGCACCGACTTAACAAAAGCCTGCTTGCCTGTCTCGTTGCCCGAGTGGATGCATCTGCGACTGCCGGGCAAGGGGCCTCGGGTTCGATTCCCGGGTAGGGTAAAGTATTACTGGGTTTTTAAACAAAATCTCACTATTAGCACGGAATCTAGAATTGTGCCCGGTATATGGTAATAGACTCACCCCCTATTACATGGGACTCGTAACATAAATAGTGAAAAGTGGGTGTTACATTGTACAGTGGCATTCAGTGCCGTAATGTACACCTCTGCCTAACCCTAGGGAGATAAAATGATAATAGCGTGATGTTACGTTCAGAAACGAAGGAGGTGTGCAGTTTGACCCGTATGAATGTATTGTATGTATGGTTGTGCGCAAGTATCTCACGGAAATTACTGAATAATGATGTACCTAATAACATACGTATAACCTCACGCCTGTCTCCCATGGGGGTAGACAGAGACTATGGAACGCCAATTACTACGGTTCCGACATACCTCTTTCGCCTCATCAACAGTCATCAATCTTTTCATGCATGCTCGTCGGTTAATGGTACTTTTAATTTGTCCCTTCTTTAATATATCGCCAATCTGGTCGATACATGTCCGTCTAGTGTACCTAATTATAATAGCGTATAATGGGGTGGATAGGGATCGAGAGGTGAATAGAAACAAAAGAGGGGTAAATAGATATTGGGAAATTCTTCATAGTATCGATTCACTCTTCTTCTGTCTCTATTCACCTCTCGATCCCTATTCACCCCATTTTATTGTACTTAATACTGAAATTCAGCGTCTCCTTTGTTTTCAGAAGCTGTGAAACCAAAAGAAGACTCAAAGGATACAGCAATAAGAAGAGAAAACAACAAAAATTGTATATTTTGAGTTAGTCGACATGATTCCCTAGATACATTATATGTATTGTAATTTTTAAATGAAATAAAATAAAAAATGTGATTATACACCGTCTTGTTATTTCCGAGTTATATACGTACTCTCTAAGATTATTTAGACACCACTGACAAACGATGAAGGAAAACATCGTGAGGAAACCTGGACTTAATTTGTAATTATACGTTTGTAATCGCCAACCCGCATTGAGCAAGTCAAAGTCAAAATCATTTATTTCAATTAGACCAGGAAGGCACTTTTGAACGTCAAAACCAAATATTTAAATATTAAATTATAAGAAAAAATGTCAGTCTGTAGGTCAGTCCTCTAGTGAAGCTATTTGCTCGTTCCAAAGTGTACATTCCTATGGAGAAGAACGAGCAAGAAACTCCTTTTTCAATCATGTTCACAATACAATTTTTGCTTACATTCTTTCGTTGAGTTCAATAATGTGAGAACAATGTAATACCAATATTTGGTCAAGGAGACGGAAAAAGAAAATAACCTTGAGGACGACAAATTTAATACAGTCTGGAGCTGACCAGTCCCAGTTG